CCCCCACATATCAGTTTAGTTTCCACATATCAGTGAAAACATTCAACATTTGGATTTTTGGAATTGGCTCTTTCACTTAGCATGATATTCTCCAGATCCATCCATTTACTGGCAAATGTCATAAAGTTACTCTTCTTTATAGCTGAGTAATAGTCCATTGTGTGTATATACCACAATTTATTTACACATTCATCTGCTGATGGGCATCTAGGTTGCTTCCACAACTTAGCTATTGTGAACTGTGCTGCTACGAACACTGACGTGGCTAATCACTGTAGTATGCTGATTTTAAACTTTTTGGATATATGCTGAGGAGCAGGAAAACTGGAATAATTGGGTGAAATGGTGGTTCCATTTGTATGTGTTTTGTTGCTGTTGTTTTGGTTTATTTATTTATTGGTACCAGGGATTGAACTCAGGGGCACTTGACCAGTAAGCCACATCCCCAGCCCTCTTCTATATTTTAGAGACAGAGTCTCACTGAGTTGCTTAGTTGCCTCGCTTTTGCTGAGCCTGGTTTTGAACTCTCAATCCTCCTGCCTCAGCCTCCTAGGCTGCTAGGATTACAGGCATGTGCCACTGCACCTGGCCATTTGTATGTGCTTTTTAACTGTTTGAAAATCATTCTCTGGTATGAAGTAGAGTAAATGGTTTCCTATTTCAGTTCTGCTTTCCCTGGATGAAGAGAAATTTCTAGTATGGGCAGCTTGGCCTGAGTTTCCCTTTCTAGGCATCTGCCTTCTCCCTGGTCACCAGGATATCTGAAGCCTCCTGTGGTCCCAGGGGCAATGTCCCTCAGTGCCTTGAGTGATGGTTCTCAGGGTCCTCCCTGCTCCAAGGCAAAGGACCCTCCTTCCCTTTCCATCTCCATCTCCAGTGTCTGCTCTGTGGCTTTTGTGTCTCAGACCTAGCATCCCCTCAGCACAGGGTCTGAGCCTTACCCCACCCACCCCTCCTCCCCACATCTGCTTGCTGGTGTGAACAGAGCTCCAGCCCAGCTGCCCACAAAAAATACCTCAAGGCATAGCACCCATTCCACAAAGGGGAGCCAGTTGGTATTATCTGAAATTGGGAAGCGGCCTCCCAACAGGTGACACCCCTCCCCCACCCCAACATCTTCACTGCCCATTTCAAAATAAGAAAGAGTCACAGATCTTTGGTATCAGCCAAAGACCCTGCCAAGGCATACACATTTTGAATTCTTTCTCTCCAAATTACAGAAGGGAAGAAACACTTGGCTTCCTGGTAAGAGAACTCCAGTCACTAGCAAGAGGTCCAAAGAGGTCCAGATCTGTTTGTTTTGAGGAGAAGTGGGAGGAGAAAATGAAAGAGAGAGATTTTAAAGTGGTTGGTTGATTTAGGGTATCTCAGAAAGTTATGTTGGGAGACTATTTATAATTTGCCTGAGTGCCTCTCCACGTCCAAGGCCTCCTTGAGGCCTTCCTGCTTATTCCATATGCAAGTATCTACAATAAAGTGAGGCCCATCTTATGGGTAGATTTTGGGGTTGGCCAACCCTAGCTGGAACCTGCTCTGCTCAATTGTGACAGTCAGCTGACTGGTTGGAGGAAGATAGACCAGTGGGGTTGGGGGGAACAGACAAACCAGCTGATTGGTTGGGAGACATACAGATCAGCTGATTGGTTGTGAGACAGAGATCAGCTGATTGGTTGGGAGAAAGACAGATCAGCTGATTGGTTGGGAGGCAGACAGATCAGCTGATTGGTTGGGAGGCAGACAGATCAGCTGATTGGCCAGGGTAAGACAGACCAGTCGATTGGTTGGAAAAAGAAGTCATGAACCCTTCCAAAGGAATTTACAAACAAATCTTCAGTTTTGAGCTTTTTAGGGTCCATGAGTTGGGTGATAAGATTTGATACTTCAATCCTGAGTGTGTTTAATGCCAATTAAATGCTGCCAGGGCTAAATGGGACTTGGAACGGATGTACATTTTAATGGAAAACTAGAAATGGGATTACAGTATACATAGTATTGGGGGTCCTGCTTTTATTCTCAACAAGTTAGTCAACATCTTTGACCTAAAGAACTGTTTCTTCAGTATTGTTTTTAATAATTGAATAGCATTCCACTGAATGACTTTGCCACAGTATACTGAACTGTGTTCGATATTTTAAATGTTCTGGCATTGATTGACAATTAGGAGGAAAGAACATCTTTGTAGCTGAATCTTTGCTCAGCCATAGTTACTCACCAGGATCGACTTAGAGGAATGGAACTGCAGAACAAAAGGGTCTTCTGATGTTTAGCCAACTCTGCCCCAATTTTCCTCAACATCACTGATATTTTCATTCATCCTTCTTCTTTTGTTTTTGCCAATTGGGTGGCAAAAAGAAAGCATTCATTCTTTAGTTTTGCATTTGCTTTATTACTAATGAAAATGAATATGGGGGGGCATTGCTCATTCATTCATGGTTCTTTTTGGATGTACTTGAATCATGTGCTTATTTCTATTTCCCTTGGTGTGGCTATTTTTAAATATCATGGGTTTGAAATATTCATTTTGGTCACAATTGTTTTAGCTTGTTATTTATGTTTCATTATTATAGGGGTTTTAAAGCCACATAAAGGCTTTAAATTTTATGCTTTCAAATATTTATGATTTGAAAAATCTTTTCTTTTTTAACATTGGTGATTGATCCCAGGGCCTTGTGCATGCTAGGCAAGCACCCTACCACTGAACCACACCCCAAGCCCCCAAACCTTTGTAAATCTTTATCACTTTTTAAAATCATTTATTTATTTATTTATTTTTATGTGCTGCTGAGGATCAAACCCAGTGCCTCACATGTGCTAGACAAGCACTCTGCCACTAAGCCACAACCTCAGTCCTCTTTATCACTTTTGCGTTGGGGATGTGTTTGATAACTCTTCTCCAGTCCAGGGTGATGTAATTTATTTTCTTCTACTGCTTTCCTGACTTTGCTTTCCACACTTAAACCTTTCATCTATCTGCAAGTTGTTTTATCTGAGATGGGAATCCATTTGGGTATTTTTTGATGTGTCTTTTTGTTTTGTTTTTTTTTTTGAGATGAAGTTCTAACTCTCATGAACTGTCAATTATCCTGATACCACTTATTAAATGTCTGAACTCTTTCATCACTGATTGGTGGATGCTGTTTTGTCATATAATAAATTTTTAATATTCTGTTTCTAGATATTATATTTTGTTCCATTAATCTATCTATTCTTATACCAATAGGTGCTATTTTAATTACCATAGCTCTGTACTACCTTCAAAGACCTAGTAAGGGAAATATCTCATTTTTAAAATATATATATTTTTAGTTGTAGATGGATACAATACCTTTATTTTATTTGTTTTTTTTTTTTATGTGCTGCTGAGCATCAAACCCAGTGCCTCACATGTGCTAGGCAAGCACACTACCACTGAGGCACATTTTTATTCTCTTTTTAAAAAAATATTTATTTTTTAGTTGCAGTTGGACACAATATCTTTATTTTATTTATTTATCTTTATGTGGTTTTGAGGATCAAATCCAGGGTCTTGCGCGTGCTAGGCAAGTGCTCCACCGCTGAGCTATAACCCCAGCCCCCATTTTTATTCTCTTTTAAAAGATTATATATATATATATATATATATATATATATATAAAATCTTTTATATATATAGTATATATATTTTATATATATATCTTTTATATAGATATATATATATAGTAACTGCACAAATAAATGCTATTTCTTTCAAATAGACTCAATTTGTTAAATTTTAAAAAGATGTGGTTGGTATTTTGATTAGAATTGCATTTATTTTTCTAACACTTGTTATTAAAATATTGATTCAATCCAGCAATATGACTCTTGAATTATTTATCTTCAGTATAGTTTGTTTTATCTATGTAGCTTACTTATATTTGTTATTTCTTTCATGTTTTTAATTGTTATTCTGTTTTTCTCTCTGTTATATACCCTTATCTGTTGATATCAGATAAGGGTATATAACAGAAAACACTATATGGGAAAACACTTAAGCTACCCATTTTCTAGTTCTGACAATTATTCATTCTGGTGATTCTCTTAGACTTCTCTTGTTTGAACTCTAAATCATTAAAATGTTATCTTCTCTTGATGAGGAAATATCTTTATTTCTGGCTTTTTTGCATAGGCAAAATAACTATAAGCAAAAAGACAACTGAGTCTAAAGGAAGTGCCTCTCTGGTACTTAACCTTGGGCTGAAGCCATATTTAAAATACTTCCATGGAAATAATTTCCATATATTGAGAGGTTTTGAATATCCGGACTGCATGTTGAATTCTACCAAATGTTTCAGAGACATCTGTTAAGATGTTATGCGACTCTGTTCCTTGGAATATCACTGTGATGAATTATAATATAGGGCTACCATATCGTATTTGATTATGTTTTCTCTTGCTCTATCATAGTTTTCTTAGACTTCATTTGTATGTCTATAATAGTATTTTTGATTTCTGAAGAATCCATCCTTTTCAGACTCCACATGTAAAAACCTGGACAGTACCAAGTCCTCATGCACACTTGCATAGTGACCATCAGCCTGTCCTTTCCCATCACCAACCATTCTCCCATGTTAACTGTTAACCCACACTGTTAACCCACATATGCCAATTTGCTCCTGGGGCAAAGAGAACAAGTCAGGATCTCTAGTCAATGTTCTGGAGGCTTCTCTGACTGACCTGAGCAAACCTGGAGATCCCTTTGCTACCTGGAGCAGAGGCACAGGTGAAGTGCTGGGGTCTTCTTGTCCTGAGCACTTGCTCCAGCTTCCCCTAAAGATCTCTCCTTGGGTTTCCTTCCACACTTACTGCTGTAGCTTGTGCAGACTCAGGCACTTGATGTTGTGTTTAGAAGGTTTTGACCAGGGCATGGGCAGAGGTGAGCTAAAGGTTAAAAGGTGAGGAGGGGCGTAACCAAAGAACATTTCAGAAGAACTAGAAGCTACCTGACCACACAGGCCCTGCTCCTTGTGCTCAACACTCACCTGGGGCCTTGAGTTCAGCATCGATGAAGGTAAGCAGTTCCTGGTAGATGCTGCAGTAAGGAACAGGCCAGGTCAGGAACTGGTGGTAGGTCCGGGCTGCCTTCAGAAGGAGATCTGAGTCTGGTGGGAAGTGTGGGGTCTAGGACAGACAAGGGGCAGCAAGAGAGATGCAGGTGAGAAAAAAAACTCACTGATATTGCAGGACAGCTTCTTCTCCCTTTCTGGAATGTTCTACAAAATGATCATTTCCTGGGAGCAATGTGTTGCAGAACAAGATTAGGAAGAATGAGAAATGAGTTACAGGGAGTGAGTCACAGATGGGCAAGATGGCACCCAGGGCCTTGTTTTGACCAGACAGACACAGTTTACCCAAACTTGAGAGAGCCTCTCTGCAAAGTTGTCACCTCAAGGTCATTGTACCCTGTGCATGGTTGCCACTTATTTTGGAGAAGGATCTTCCATCCTGTAGTTAAACATCCTCACTACAGGCAAGTGTTTATGCTTTGGGTAGAATGAATCCATGTACACAGTCATTTCGGTCACCAGTCTGGTGAATATGAGAGATGACCACACTGGGTGAAAGTGACCACTGGGGTCAAAATTGAGGTGGACACAAAATCTCTCCATGGAATCTCTCTTGTGGTTAATGAATACACTGTCACAGCAGTTCCTCTATGGAAGCCCAGAGATGCCAGGTACAATGGCAGCCACGAGGAATTACCAGAGGCCCCCTCAAGATGGCAGCTCTCAAGACATCAGAAGGTCAAAAACTATCTCAAGATAAAAACCTAGAGTTTCTCTCTCTGTTGATCCTCAGAGGAGTGAGCACTGTGACCCCGACAGAAGTTGCTCATCCTTCTCCTCCCTTCTCCTCTCCTCCCTCTCCTGCTTGGGCCCATGTGAACTTACACAGAGGACAGTGGAATAGAAGAGTAGAGCCAGTGGGGTGAGGAGGTCATAGGTACCCTTCTCTTGGACCTGTGGAGAGGATGGAGAGGTCAAATGCAGCATTCTCATGGCCCATTCTGGAACTCAGAGGGGTTGGAGGCACAGAAAACTCTCCCACTCTCTCTTCTGTGCTGGATGAAATTTAGACTTTTCCTTCTCTTTACTCTGGATCCATGAGGCATCTGCCACAACTCCTATTCAGTCCCTTCTACCAAACTCTGCCCTGTTCCTACAGGAGTGTTGGTCCTCTTTATTTGGGTTTATAAGTCCAGCACCTCAGACACAGTTTAGTGCTTAGGCTGGCTTGCTTGGGATCACAGTATGAAAAGCACCAGGTAATGGTAAGGCCAGAACGGTAACCTTAGATGTCTTGATAAACGAAGACTTTCTTTTTTATAGAGGGAGCCAACTGAAGAAAAATCACATTTTCCAAACTCAATCATTCACTTAAAAAAAAAAAACCCATAAAATAAGAGAATTCTTTATAAAAGAGCCAGAATCCTCCTTTGGGATTCACAGATGTTCTGGAAGCCTCGTCCAGCTCAGCCTGGCATGCATTCCTTGGTTATAAAAGCCATGAACTGTCAAAGGAGGCCTCGGTTTCCCTTCCCAATTGGTCTTCTCTTTCTTCTCTTCTATGCCTTTGTTCTTATGGGTCCTTTTGAGAAAAGGGATTGGGTTAAGCTTCCTCCCTCCTTGCTAGTCTATTGCTGGACTTACAAGCAATGTCAGTCCCAAGAGGCTTCAGCTCAGGTCTCTGGATCCCCTGTTCACACTAGAGAGAACACACCCCTTTCCAGATACCCTCAATGCCTCAGCATCCAGACATAAGATTTCTCAATTCTACCACGCCAAACCCAGAGCTCTGCCTTTGAGGGTGCTAGGGGACACCTTCACCTCTCGGGTTTTCTGCAGGATCTGCTCCAGGAGGATGAGGAAGTGGCCCGGGTCCCTGCTGACCAGCTCCTGTAGGCTCCAGCAATTCAGACACAGCCCCGCTAGAAAGGGAGTAAAAAGAGGCAAGTGATCAGCTCAGTTCTCTTCTGTCCACCCTCAGTCAGGAGCTATAGAGAGGGGAGATCTATACTGGGACATTCTTCTCTTGGGGATGGCACTGGAACATTCCTTTCTAAAGTGAGACAGCCTTCGTGAGCACGCTGAACCAATGTGCTCCCCTACCCCATCGAGACATGATGACCCATTTCCTATTCCTGCACAAGAGGCTCAAGAGCACAGATTGGAGACGTGGGCTGGGATCCCCTTAGAGGCCAATGGACTTGAGGTCACTCTGCCCCTGCACCTCTGGGGAGCACTGGTGCTCCATCTCCCCTGCTTTCCTGCAATGTGTGCTGGTGCCGATGAGACCCAAGGAAGTTAGGTCAGAGCTAAGAAACTGTGGAATAAATAGAGGAGCCACAGCCAGCTCCACCCTATGACCCAAGAAGGTATCTGTGACAATCATGGAGTTTCCCTGAACTGCCTGGTAATGGAACCCAGGAAGGGGAAGCTAAATTCACTTATAGCTCAAAAGCTATAATGAGCACTTGGTTGCTATAACTTCCTCAGACTTTCTTAGTAGGTTTGTCTCTGTTTCCCTGAAGTCAACAAGGGTAAACCCCTAAAAATGAAATGGTGTGGTCACAGGAATTAAGGGAGGTTATATGTCAGGGGGTGGGGAAAAGGAGATTAGGAAGGGTGGATGTGTATTGACAGTATATTTCATGGAATTTAAACTCCATGTCTCCTTATGTGCATGGACTCCTTCTAAAGGCCAGGAGATCTCTAAACACAGGTTTTCATAGAACTTGCCAAAGTCAGATCTTTTCACATTCTTTGACTTAACAATGCTCCTCAACTCTGCAAGCTTAGGCCCCATCAAAACGTGGGCAGTAGGCAAGAAGGGAAATTTTTATTTTATTGATCACCTACTATGTGTCAATATGATGCTACTTTGCCTTTGCATATATTATCTGCTTTGAATGTCCCAAGCTCCCTTCAGAAATGTGAGTCCTGTTATCATCATTCCCATTTTACAGACAAGATAAGTGGAGTCCTGAAAGGATAGGTAGCTTGCACAAGAGTGTACAGCCAATTAAAGTCAGTTTTAATGCATATCTGTCTAATGCTGAAGGCCAGGGATAGCTCCATGGAGGTGACATTTCAGTTGAGACATGCATGAGAAGGAGCCAGCTATGCACATTCTTAGGGAAGAATTCCAGGCAGCAGGTGCAAAGGTCCTGAAATGGGAAAAACCAGGTACGTTTAAGAACCAGCAGGGGGGCTGGGAATGTGGCTCAGGCGGTAGCGCGCTCGTCTGGCATGCGTGCGGCCTGGGTTCAATCCTCAGCACCACATACCAACAAAGATGTTGTGTCTGCTGAGAACTAAAAAAAAAATAAATATTAAAAATTCTCTCTCTCTCCTCTCTCACTCTCTCTTTAAAAAAAAAAAAAAAAAAAGAACCAGCAGGGATCTATCTCATAGAGTAGGTAGAGAGGCAAGCAGACACAGATGTGAAAAATCTTCACTAGAATAAGGAATTCTTACAACTAGGCACCAGCCGCAGAGACACACGTGCCCCAGCCTGCAGATTCCCCAGTTCTCAGTCCTGAGAATCAGGGAGCATAGAGACCCCTGATCCTTGAAGCTCTGTTGAGTTTCTCCCTCGTTCTGCAGGCTGGAGGAGGGTAGGGCTGTGGAAGGAACTAGAAACAAGTGAGCAGGAGAATCTGGGGGAGAACTGCCTGTGAATTCCTGGCTGCTCTTTTGGAATCAGTAGCTGAGGTGGTTCTAAGCGATTCTAAACCTGTGCTTCTAGCACATGCTGAGGAAGCGAGATAGCACCTGAGTAGGATGAGGAAGCGTCAAGGGAGAAAGGAGACAGAGCTGCATGCTGTGGCTCCTGCCCAGGTGAAGTCTAGGGATTTGCTCAAGTCACACAGGATCTGAACAGAATCCGAGGCAGCTCAGTGGGAGAGCGCTTGCCCAGCCCAGATGAGGCTCTGAGCGTGAACCATAATCTGCCAGCTTCCATGCTTGGCCCAGGGCCCAACACCGCCTCTGAGGCCCCCCTGGGTCCTCAGAACACCTCCCCAGCTCCCTCAGCCCTACCTGACCAGGAAGTGGTGCTGCGGCCCAGGCTGAGTCCATGCAGGCAACGCTCCAGGGCATGCTGGATGCGGTCCTCCGTGCACGTCGTGGCCCCTGGCTGCATCCTGAGTCATTGCCTGTGTGGGGAAACAGATGCCAGGTCAGCCTGTTGAGCCCCCCTCACAGAGAATACGAGGCTGGTCCCTGAGTCCAGCAGGGCAGCACCCGGCCCAGGAGGGCACTCCAAGTCCAGCGCTATCCGCCCACTGTAGCTCGGGTACTGTGGGCACAGCTCTAGAGGCCTTAGTGCGGCCTCCAGGGGAGAAACACTGCCATCAAAACTTGGGTAGTAGGCAAGAAGGGAAATTTTTATTTTATTGACCACCTACTATGTGCCAATATGATGCTACTTTGCCTTTGCATATATTATTTCCTTTGTTCCAAGCTCCCTTCAGAAATGTGAGTCCTGTTATCATCACTCCCATTTTAAAAAATTTTTTAATATTTATTTTTTAGTTCTCGGCGGACACAACATCTTTGTTTGTATGTGGTGTTGAGGATCGAACATGGGCCGCACGCATGCCAGGCGAGCGCGCTACCACTTGAGCCACATCCCCAGCCCTATCATTTCCATTTTAACAGACAAGATATGTGGAGTCCTGAGAGGATCAGCCACATCTGAGCAGCAGGAGCAGCCTCCCTGTGACTGCAGAGCACAGAGGCATAGGAAGTGAAAGGCCAAGTGCCCAGGGAATGCCCACACCATGGCCAGACCCTAGAGTCCTGCAGACTCTAGGGCAGGAGGATCTCAAGAAGAAAATCCAAATCACTTGGGGGAGATTTTCTGAATTTCCAGGCCTGAATCCTCCCAGTCCTACAGGGATGGGGGTCATAGGATCTCCTTCCAAATGTGGGGTGTCAGGGCGGGGAGTGTCCTCACACAAATCCCCATTCCTATCCTGCCAACCTCGGCACGGATCACGGGCACCTGGGTCCTCTCTGCTGTCACCCTGTGTTTAGACATTTTTTCTATACTTTCTCTGAGGCTTCGTGATGTCACCAGCTATCCAAAGTCCTTGGCTAGTCACCTTCCTTATTCTCCTGGGAATGCTCTGATGGAAAGCAATGGAGAAGGGGACTTCAGGGGGTTTAGTATCATATGGGGTCAGCCCAGAGTCATGGATTCGGGTGAGGGTTCCCCGAATCCCTCAGAGGACATGACATGCATTTTGACACCGTGATTCATTCGGGCTCTGGTATCCTGCAGGCCTGGACTCCAATCTGGACTCTGATGTTGGCTGGTCATGAGATTCGGGGCAAATTCTTTAACGCTTTCCAAACCTCGGTTTGCTTATCTATCAAATGGGGATGATGATGATGATGATGGTGCCAATCTCTCGGGGCTGTTGGGAAACTAAATGTCGCAGTGGATGTCATGAGCTCCCACTGCATCGGGCTCTCATGCTATATATAGTTCTTTGCAGGGGTTGTCCCCGTGCCTGGGAATTTCATTGCATTCAGCTCTTTCGGGTAGATTTTGTCACTGGCCGGTCAGGCCATTTCGTGGGGAAGCAGAGGAAGTGGCAGGGCCCGTTCTGTGGATCTGGGGACTGACCAGGAAACCAGAAGAGGAAGCTTAGAGCCCAGAGCTGAGCCATGCAAATGACATGCAAAGAGATGCAAGCTCCTAACTCAGGTCTCGTTGCAGGACCGCAGCGTTCCGATCATGGAGTCACCTCGTAGGCAAATCTTTCTACTTCTCTAGCCTGGTGGGAACCACATGCCCAGGAAACAAAAAAGCCCTATTGTGAGGTGTCGAGCATCACTTCCTTGATGTCCCCAGGGGGCTACGCATTATGAAATGTGGATGGTACAGTGATGGACACATAGAGCCATTCTGTCATTGATTTCTTGACCAACTACTATGTGCCAGGGATACAGCAGTGAACAGAGAGGCATAGACATTCTGTCTTGACACAGACATTCACTGTTAAACAAAGAAAGAGGAGACCCCGTAGCACAGTGAAACAGGCTCTGAAGAAAAGATATTTCTGGAAGGAGGCCAGATGAGAAGGCCATTCCTGGTTCTTGTGGGTCTCGGAAGAGGGACACGTTTGCTTCTGGGGAAAATGAGGGGAAGAGTATTCCAGAAAGAGGAGATAGCGTGTGTCAAGATCTGGATGCAGGGATCAGGAGCAAAGAGGCTGGGGTGCTGGGCTGGCCTCCGACACAGGCTGAACTTCCAGGTCCTACACCTCTACTGACAGCCAGAGTGGGAAGGGGTTCCTTCAAGGCCAAGGTATCAGCTGGACTTCTGTCTTCCCAAATTGTGGCTGAGGTCCCACTCCAAGGACAAAGGTGCTACCTGCCCAACATTCCAAAGTCCTCAGAGGCACAGTGGACTGTGGGGATGGGGGCTATAATCACCCTAGTGGGCTTGAAGGGGGGAGTTAGTCCAGAATCAACAAAGAGACACCTGCATCCTGTCATTATGAGATTAGGAAGATTAAAAACAGGGTTGTCCGCCACCTTGGAAGACCCTCCTTTATCTCCCCAGAGCCAAGAGCCAGGGAGGGGGGGCTTTAAGAGAATCCCTTACACAGACTGGGCTGCCCACCATGTGAGGGCACGGCTCTTCAGATCAATACCTACTTAGCAAATTTGCTCACCAGCTCCTCTGCTACCTGGAGAAGGGGCAACTTGTATATCCACTGTAGGGCAAGCCAAAGATGTGAGTTCCCCATCATTGTGCAGGAGTGAGTACCAGGGGGGGAAAAAAAGGTGCGTTTGAACAGTCAGAGGCTGAAGCTGGATCCTCTTTGTGGGGTGCTGGTGGAGCGAAAGGATCAGGTGAGCAATCAGTAGCACAGAGAAGTTAAACAACTTGCTTGAGGTCACACAACCAGGAGGTGGACAAAGCCAAGACCCAAACCCAGGGATCTGGGTTCTTCCAGTACATGGTAACGCTGCGTTGCAACCGTCACGGTCCACTATCCCTCAGCGCAGTCAGATACAGTTATTAGAAAAACAAAAGCAATTCCCAAATTGTCCCAAGACAGCCTCAGGCCCTTTTGCACCCCAACTCAATGACCATGAGTTTGCTTTAAGAGGTTCAGAATCGCAGGATGCAGTGGCGCATACCTGTAATCCCATCTATCCTGGAGGCTGAGGTAGGAGGATCACAAATTCAAGGCCAGCCTCAGCCATTTTAGCAAGGCCTTAAGCGATTTAGTGAGACCCTGTCTCAAAATAAAAACTAAAACTAAAAAGGACTGGGAATAGAGCTCAGGGGTCATGTGCCACTGGGTTCCATCACCAGTATCCCCCCTCCCCTCCTCCAAAAAAGAAAAAGAGGTTTAGAATCTGCCAGGCATGGTGGCACAAACCTGTAATCCCAACTACACAGGAGGCTGAAGCAGGAGGATGGCAAGTTCAAGGCCAGCCGGTGCAAGTTAGCAATACCCATCTCAAAATAGAAAGGGCTACAGAGTAGCTCAGTGGTAGGGCATTCCTGGGTTCAAGCCTCAGTAAAATAAAAATAAATAAATAATTAAATAAAATGCAGACTCTCCGTTGCTGGGATCAGGGACCCCACTGTGTCTGTCTACAACAGCTGCTGAGCTCAGCTCCTGAGAGAGACCCAGAGCTCACAAGTGTGAGCCAGAGAGCAAACACCCAGCAGACCATGGTGGCATGAAGAAGGGCCCTGGTTGTCTCTATCCTGGAGCGTGGGGCTGAACTGTGTGAGCTGGGTGTCAAGTCATCCTCCACCCAGCCCCTCACGTGATGGACATGCCACGAGGCAGGCAGGCATGAGTCACCTGTGTGTCGCACATTGTCATGATGCAAATTCGAGACACCAATGACACGACTTCTGCCACACCCCTGTCCTTAAGGGCGCCAGAACACACTGTCCTAGAGCTGCTGCTAGCACCAGTCCTAGAGGACAACAGCTACCCCCCACCCCCACCCCAGGGCCCTCTCTGACACCCGCTGGCCCAGCCTCCCTCCTGTCCCACGTAATGGGGAAAAAAAATCAAGGCCTCCTCCGTAGAAGAGCTGGATACCCTCAGGACCCCGGGCAAAAAGTTCCTGAAGTGCCAGCCTCCCTGGCATCTTGGGGCCATCAAGAGCTTGACCAAAGAGCTCAGGGTCAGGACTTGCTGGGGCTCTGAGCTTGGGGAGCCGGAGAGAGGGTGGGAAAGGGAGCCCAGTGGAGGGCCCTCTCGGCTGAGCTGTGGCCTGGCCCTTGGCACACTCATTTCCTCCTGGTGAGTCAGTCGGTCATCACTCATTCCTTGTGACCGGTCCCCTCTGGCTCTGGGGAGGAAGTGACAAGGGAGGATGGACGGACGATGGGATCCCCTCTCTTCAGGATGAAGCCTCTTTTTTCAAAAGTTTTGACAAGCAAGGCCCGTTCCTGTCCCTGGCATCCCCCTCCCACCCCCACCCACCTCTTTTAAGAGGAGCCCCCTCCCCCATTGTGAAATTCCAGCTGCTGCCGGGAATGGCCCCCACCACCACCTCCAGGGGCAGTGTTGAAACATGGAACAACGGGGCCTGCCCCACATTCAAGTTCCTCTTCTGAGCCAGCACAGAGGACTCAGAGTCCTTCTTACTGGGGACCCTGAGTAGGGCAGATAGACTTGGCATTGGGGGTGGGTTTGCAGCTCTGCTTCTCCCGCCCCTTCACGTGTTGACACAACTCCACGAGGTAGGCCCAAGGCTGGTCAAAGGGGTGGGCTCTGGGCCGACTTCCTGTGGCAGCCCCCAAGAGGCAAAGAGGAGGGCTTCTCTTTTGTGGGTGGGGGGGTGTCTTCTCAAAGTGCTAAAGAGGAGAAATTGGACCGTCGACATCTCCTAGGGAAAGAGGAATTTCTGGCTAGCACCTCCCACTGCTTTCTTGGTGTTCTGGAACATTCCAGGTTCATGTTTTACAGCTCTAGTTCCCACAGGGAGCAGGGGACCAAAATGGATCTATCTATATATAAAAAAAAATGAATGGTATTATGAATGAGGTCTGTAATCAATCGCATTGAAAGAGATAGGGAAGAAAATGACAGACCTAAGTAACCTCAGTGTGGTCAGGGTTTGGAGATGCGGTGACCCCCAAAGCGCCTGCTCATGCAGGAATAGGCAG